CATTTCAAGAATGTTACATAAATGGCAATATGTAGTACGTGACTTTGAGATTGGCTTTTTTTCCCATAGCTTGATAACCTTGAGGTCCACCTAAGTTTTTTCATATATCAATAGTTTTCATTCTATTACTGATTACTTTTCCTGTTTCATCTTATATTAATTCATTGAAGGACTTTTGGGTAGTTTCTAGTTTTTGCCTACAAAGCTGAATATTCATATACAGGTTTTTTTGTGTGAACATAAAGTTTTCATTTCTAAAATACCCAGTGGCATAATTCTAGGTTGTGTGGTAGGTGAATGTTTATAAGAAATTGATAAATTGGTTTTCAAAGTGGCTAAGCCATTTTATATTCCTCAGAGATCTAGTTGTTCTATGTTCTTGCCAGTACTTGTTACTGTCAATTTATATTTTAGCCATTCTGATAGATGTGTAGTTGTATCTCAAGCATAGCTTTACTTTGCATTTCCATAATAGCTAATGAATTAATCACTCTTCCATGTGCTTACTTGCCATTTTTTATATCCATGAAGTATCTACTGAGTTTTTCACCTATTAGGAATTGGATTATTGTTTCTTACTGTTTGGTTTAGAATTCTTTATATATTCTGAATACTAGTTCTTTGTCAGATATGTGCTTTGCACATATTTTTTCCCATATGTGATTTGTGTTTTCATTCTCTTAATATTTCTTAGGGAAAAAGGTTTTTATTTTGATGATGTCTGATATTATCAATTATTTAATTTTATGGATTATGATTTTATTATTAAACATAATTTTTAAAACTCCAGAGGAGAATAATTTATTACATTTAGTCAGATATTTTTCCTTTCCATTGCTCTTTCCAGACTTGATTTTCCAAGTTTCTCTCCATTATTTCCTTTCTGCCAGAAGGAATTTATTACAGAAAAGCTTTTAAATCATATCTGCTGGTGACAACTTCTCTTTGTTTTCCCTCATCCAAGCCTGTCTATTTCATCTTTATCTCTAAGGGATATTTTGACAGGATATAGAATTCTGGTTGGCAGTTTTTCTGGAACTTGAAAATACCTTGCCACTTCCTTCTGGCCTCCATGATTTCTGATAAGAAATCTGGTGTTATTTATATTGTCCTCCCCTGTGGGTGATGAGGTGTTTTTCCCTGGCTTTAAATTTTTTTTTCTTTGTCTTCAGTTTTCAAAAATTTGACTGTGATATGTCTAAGCATAGGTTTCTTTGGGTTTGTCTTGCTTTGGGTTCACTCAGTTTCTTGAATACAAATTATATCTTCTGTCAAATTTGATGTTCCCAGCTATTATTTCTTTAAATACGGTTTCAGCCCAGCACTCTTTGTCTTCTTCTTCTGAAACTCCAGTGACATGAATGTTAGATCTTTGTTATTGTCCCCAAGTCTTTTAGGTTCTGTTCATTTGTATTCGATATACATTCTCTGTTGTTTAGGTTAGATAATTCTTACTGATCTATCTTCAGTTTCACTGATTCTTTCCTGTGTTATGTTTCTTCCAGTGAGCCCATCAAGTTGTTTTTTTATTTTTTTGGGGGTGTTTTTTGGTTACTATATATTTCAGCCCTAAAGTTTCTATTTGGGTCTTCTATAAATCTCTTATTCAAATTGAATCTTCCTTGTTCTGATATGATGAGTAATTTTGCATGTATTCCTGACATTTTGAGGATTATAAGACTCTTGTTCTATTTAAGTCTTCTATTTTACAAAGCAGTCAAACTGTTTAGTTTGTGTTTCCTGGCCCACTTATGTGGTTCAATGTCAATTTAATTTCCTAAGTCTTTGCTCTGTTATTTGGGTCTGTCTGTCTGTATTTGGGTGGTACCCAGAAGCCAGTCTGACACCTGGACAGTAGTCTACTCATAGTTCATTTTGCTCTGTTGATTATAATCAGTTTTATGCATTGACTGCTTGAGGATCTGCCCAGGTCTTCATACACAGATTAGAACCCTTTCTCCAACTCTCCCAGTAATCCTCCCCCAGTATTTGATTGGGATGTTTTACAGTGCTGCCTCTTTGCAGCTGGTCACTCAGTACAGCACAAGGATGGTTCACAAAGCTCCTCCCCTTAGTCTTGGCCACATCTAGTGCCTGGGGGATGAGTAGGACAGATACAATCAAATGTCCTGTGTTCTGTTGGTTTTTTTCCCTACAGTTTGCTATTTCCCATTCCTTTGATTTGTGAGAGTAGGCTTTTTTTTCCCCCTCTTTATCTGTGCCCATTGATGTTTTCGGGTTATAGGCTTCCCTTCCTTGCGCCTAAGTCAAAAGAAGGTTAAAAGCAAGCAAAAGAAAAACCCCCAGGAAATTTACTGCCAGGTCATTCTTCAACTTCTAAAGTGCCTAGCCAGGCCATCTTTTTTCTACCTTTCAGAGTCTTTTGATAGTTGTTTTATGTGTTTCATCCAGGGCTTTTAGTTATATTCAGCATCAGGAATTGGGTGGAATATCTTTCATCTTGTGGGGGGACTCAAAGTCCCCCAAGTCTTTCAAACACAGGTTTTTAATCTACTAAAATAGGCTTAACAATAAGGGGATTCTATGTGAGAGGAACTGAACATTTATTAAGCACTTACATGTCAGACACTCTACTAAGTGATATTAAAACTTTCCAACAACCCAACAAAGAAGGTATTATTACCCTTTTATTATAAAGAAACAAACTCAAGCCAGGGGAAGGAAAGTAGTCTATGCTATGCACTATGCTATTAGGTTTTTGTTTTAAAATATGAAAAATTACAAATTAAAACTTACCATCTTGTTTCTAGCTCATCCAGTATTGATCATTAACATTTTTTTCTGTTCATGTGCATACAATAAAATGCACAGATCTTAGTATATAACTTAATGAATTTTGACATGTGTTTAACAAACTAACCATCATCCAAATCAAGATATCAAACATTCTCACTAATTTTCCCCCCTTGACCAATTTGACCCATCCCATACCTCCCCCTCTGTGATAACCACGAGTGTGATCTCTGTTTGAGTCTATCTCAGTTTTGTTTTGTTTTTCAGATTCCACATATAAGTGAAATCATACAGTATTTGTCTTTCTCTGTCTGACATTTCACTTAGTATAATAACCTCTAGATCCATCCAGGTTGTTGTAAATTGAAAGATTTGATTCTTTTTTATGGCTGAGTGATATTTCCATTGTGTGTGTGTGTGTGTGTGTGTGTGTGTGTGTATATATACACACACACATATATATATATATATATACCACATCTTTTTTATCTGTTCATCTATCAGTGGATATTTAGATTGTCTCCATATGTTGGCTGTTAAATAATGCTGCAGTAAGTATAGGAGTGCATTTATCTTTTTGGATATGTGGTTATGTTTTCTTAAGCAAATTCCCAGAAGTGGAATTTATGGGTCCTATGGTAACTCTATTTTTAGTTCCTTGAGAACCTTCCATACAGTTTTCCACGGTGGCTGTACCAATTTGCAATCCCTAAAGCAGTGTACAAGGGTTTCCTTTTCTCCACATCCTCACCAACACCTAATTTGTTGGCCTGTTGATAATTAACCACTGACTGGTATGAAGTGATATCTCATTGTGGTTTTGATTTCCATTTCCTTGGTGATTAGTGATATTGAGCATCTTTTCATACGTCTGTTGGCCATCTGAATGTCTTCTGTAAAAAAAAGGCCTCTTCAGGTCCCCTGCCCACTTTTTAATTGGATTACCTGGTTTTTTGTTGTTGAGTTATATGAGTTCTTTATACATTTTGGACATTAGCCCCTTATCAGATATATCATTGGCAAATATATTCTATACAGTAGATTGCCTTTTCATTTTGTTGGTTTCCTTTGCTGGGCAGAAGCTGTTTAGCTTGATGCAGTCTCATTTGTTCATTTTCACTTTGGTTTCCCTTGCCTGGGGAGATATATCCAGAAAAAAATTGCTAAGGCCAATGTGCAAGAGTTTAATGTCTATGTTTTTTTCTCTTCCCAGCACCATTTATTGAAGATACTGTCTTTTACCCACTGTATATTCTTGCCTCCTTTGTCATTTATTAATTGACCCTGTAGGTGTGGGTTTATTTCAGTGCTCTCCATTCTGTTTCATTGGTCCTGTACCATACTGTTTTGATTACTATAGCTTTGCACTGTAGTTTGAAATAAAGGAGTGTGATAACCCCAGCCCTGTTGTTGTTTCTCAAGATTGCTTGGGCTATTGATTTTTTTGTGGTTTCACACACATTTTAGGATTATTTCCTCTAGAGGTCAGTGAAGAGTACCATTGGTATTTTGGTAGAGGTTGCATTCAATCTGTAGATAGCTTTGGGTGTAGTATGGCCATCTTAACAATATTAATACATATTCATGAACATGGAACAGCTTTCCATGTATTTGTATCTTCAATTTCATCAATGTCTTACAGTTTTCAGGGTACAGGTCTTTTGCCTTCTTGGTTAAATTTACTCCTAGGCATTTTACTTTTTTTGATACAATTGTAAATAGAAATGATTTCTTAATTTCTTTTTCTGTTGGTTCATTATATGTATATAGAAGCACAACAGATTTCTGTATATTAATTTTGTATCCTGTGATTTTACTAAATTCATTAATTTTAGTCGTTTTTTGGTGTCGTCTTTAAGGTTTTCTATATATAGTATCATGTCATCTGTAAATAGTGACAATTTTATTTCTTCCTTACCAATTCAGATGCTTTTTATTTCTTTTTTGTGTGTGACTGCTTGGCTAGGACTTCCAGTACTGTGTGGTGAGAGTGCGCCTCATTCTGTTCCTGATCTTAGAGGAAAAGTTTTTATCTTTACACTATTGAGTAAGATGTACCTGTGGGTTTGCCCTTTGTGGCTTTCATTATGCTCAGGTATGTTCCCTCTATACCTACTTTGTTGTGAGTTTTTATGATGAATGGATGCTGAATTTTGTCAGATGTTTTTTCAGCATCTGTTGAGATCATAATGATTAATTAATCTTTCCTTCTGTTAATATGGTGTATCGCATTGATTGATTCACAGATATTGAACCCTCCTTGCATCTCTGGACTAAATCCCACTTGGTCATGGTGAGTGATCCTTTCAATGTATTTTTTAATTTGGTTTGCTAATATTTTGTTGAGGATTTTTACATGTATGTTCACCAGGGATATTGGTCTGTAATTTTTCTTTGTAGTCTTTGGTTTGGGTATCAGGGTGATGATGGCCTTGTAGAACGAATTTGGGAGCTTTCCTTACTCTTCAGTTTTTGGAATAGTTTGAGAGGAATAGGTGTTAACTCTAAATGTTTCGTATAATTCTCCTGTGAAGCCTTCTGGTTCTGGACTTTGTTTGGCTAAGAGTTGGGTTTTTTTAATTTTTGGTTTCTGCTTTTGTTTTATTACTGCCTGAACTTCATTACTAGTCTTTTGTTCAGATGTTCTGTTTCTTCCTGGTTCAGTCTTGAGAGATTGTGTGTTGCCAGGAATTTTCCCATTTCTAGGTTGTCCAACTTGTTGGTATATAATTTTTCATAATAATCTTTTATAATTTCATTTCTCTGGTATCAGTTGTAACTTCTCCTTTTTCATTTCTGAAATTGTGTCCCCCCCTTTTTTTCTTGATTAGTCTAGCTTGTCACTTTTGTTTTTATCTTCTAAAAATTTCATTGGTCTTATATATAGTTTCTGTAGTCCCTACTTCATTTATTTCTGCTGTTATTTTTATTATTTCCTTCCTTCTACTAACTTTGGAATTTGTTTCTTTTCTAGTTCCTTTAGGTGTCAGGTTAGATTGAGGTTTTTCTTGTTTCTTGAGGTAGATGTATAATGCCACTTCCCTCTTAGAACTGTTTTTACTGCATCCCAAAGATTTTGCATTGTTATGTTTCTATTTTCATTATTCTCCATGTATTTATTTCCTCTTTAATTTTTTTCATTGACCCATTGGTCATTTAATAACATTGTTTAACCTCCACATGTTTTGTGTTTTTTATTTTTTTAATTTTTTCCTGTTACTGATTTCCAGTTTCATATTGTTGTCAGAAAGATGCAGTGGTATGGTTTCAGTCTTCCTAAATTCATTAACACTTGTTTTGTGGCCCAACATGTGATCTATCCTGGATAATGTTCCATGTGTGCTTGAAAAGAATGAGTATTCTGCTGTTTCGGGATGCAAAGTCCTATATGTATCTGTAAAGTTCATTTGATCTAATGCGTCATTTAAAGCCACTGTTTCCTTACTGATTTTCCGTCTGGGTTATCTATCCATTGATGTAAGTGGGGTGTTAAAGTCCACTACTACTGTTGTATTACTGTCAATTTTTCCCTTCATGTCTGTTAATGTTTGCTGTATGTATAGGTACTCCTCTGCTCGGGGGAGGGGGATTTGATATTTGTAATTGTTGTTTCTTCTTGCTGTATTGAGCTCTTAATCCTTGTATAATGTCCTTTGTTTTTTATAGTCTTTTTTTTTTTTAAGGTCTATTTTGTCTGATGTAAATAAGTACTGTGCAGCTTTTTTTTTTCCTATTTGCATGGAATGTTGTTTTCAACCCTTCAATTTCAGTCTGTGTGTGTCTAGGTCTCAAGTGAGTTTCTTGTAGGCAGCACATAGATGGTCCTTATTTTTTTTTTTTTTGTCCACTCAGTCACCCTTTGTCTTTTGGTTGGAGCAATTGACCATTTACATTCAAGGTAATTATTGATAGGTATGTACTTATTGCCATTTTGTTAAATATTTTCTGGTGGTTTTTCTCATTTTTTTCTCTGGTCCTTTTTTGTTCTCTTGCTCTCTCCCATTGTGCATGATGACCTTTTTAATGGTGTGGTTGTATTCTTTCTCTTTATTTTTTGTGTATTCATTAGAGGTTTTTAGTTTCTGGTTACCACACAGTTTATATATGATGTCTTACATATGTAGCAGTCTGGTTGCTGAAGCCCAAAGTTTAATGCCTCAAAACTTTGAGGCATTCTAATGGCAATACATTTTTAACTCACTCTCCTCCGTGTTTTTTGTATGATGTCTTCCTTAGCATCTTTTATTTATTTCCTTTACTAATTTTTAGAAATGGTTGATTTTTACTTTTGTCTTTTAAGTCTTTTAACTTAAAAGCGATTGGTCTACTATCTTTGCTATCTGTTTGCTGTACCAGTGAAATTTTTAATTTTATAATCTAGTTATAGCCTTTTATTTTCTCTTAATGAAGTCCCCTGAACATTTCTTATAAAGTTGTTTTAGTGGTAGTGAACTCCTTGAATCTGTGTTTATCTGAGAAGCCCTTTTTATTTCCCCTTCAATTCTGAAGGATAACCTTGATGGGTGGGAGTATACTTTTTCTGGCCTGTAGAGCTTCTGCTGAAAAAGAAGTTTCTCTTGTAAGTAACACATTGCATTTCCCTAGCTGTTTTTAATATTCTTTGTCTTTGATCTTTGGCATTTTAATTATTGTGTGTCTTGGTATGGACTTTCTTGGGTTCATCTTTTTTGGGACTCTCTGAGTTTATTGAATCTGAATGTCTGTTTCCTTCCCTAGGTTAGGGAAGTTTTCAGCTATTATTTCTTTAAGTAAGTTTTTCACCCCTTTCTCCCTCTCTTCTTCTAGGACTCGTGTAATGTTGTAATGTGAATATTAAGGCATTTGATGTTGTCTCAAAGAACTTATCCTCATTTCTTTTTATTCTTTTTTCTTTGTGCTATTCAATTTGAGTGCTTTCCATTATTCTCTCTTCCAAGTTGCTCTGCATCTACTAGTGTATTTTCCACTTCATTTCTTGTGTTCATCTCTGATTGGTTCTTTAGATTTTCTGTCTTTGTTGACATCCTCCCTGAGCTCATCCATTCTTCTCTCAAGTCCAGTGAGCATTTTCATAACCATTGTTTTGAACTCTTTATTAAGTAGATTAACTCCATTTCATTTAGTTATGTGTATTTGTGTGTGGTTTTGTCTTGTTCTGTCATTTGGAGCATATTCCTCTGTCTCCTCATTTTGTTTGACTTCTTGTGCTTTATTCTATGAATTAGTTGAAAGGGCTTCCTCTCCTAGTCTTGATGTATTATTGGCCTTGTGTAGGAAGGAACCTTGGCAGACTGCATGTGCCTGGTGGTTTTGGCTGCCTGGAGGCTGAATGAGAGCGAGACAAGCATGACCCAGGGCTGGGGCTCTCCTGTGTGGTTGCCTGTCAGGATTGTTGATGTCAAAGGGGCATAGTCCAGATGGGCAACAAGTTGTGTCCTCTTTGGCAGGGTGACTACAGGCAGAGGAACACTATCCCTCTCCAAGGTTGGTGCCACCTGGGGTCGTGATAATGGGGTGGCTAGGGGTAGATGGATGCAATCCAGCAATCTCCTGAGTTGACACCTGTCTGGGCCATCCAAATGGGGCAGCTGGGGATGGAAGGCTGCCTCTGTCACATCTGGAGCTGGTATATTCATCCTGACCATGCTCCTGTCCACACTGTGAAGTGTGGGGAATGTAAAAAGTGGTGCTCAACAGCAACTCTAATCTTGGAGAGAGTTCTGGCAGTTCCCCTGCCATTTGACAGCCAGGTTTAAACCCTCCAACTGGCAGCTTTTTTTCTGCTCCTGGACAGCTGAGTCTGCATTCTGGTAGCTCGAAGATATCATTCCCTGCTGTAAGGCTGTGGTTCGTGTGGGGCTACCTCTGTTACTATGTCTCCATCTCAGCCTGACATTTTTTTATCTTGTGCAGAAGGTATTCACTCGGGCCTCCATTCTTCCTTGGGATAAACTGCTCTGTATATAGACATAGATTCAGTGTGCATGTGGGAGGAGGTGGGCCTAGGCATTTTTCTACACCACCATCTTGGAACAGCCTCTTCCCCAGCATTCTGTTTTAACAAGCCTTCTAGTGATCTATTAGACACTCTGAGGTTTGAAAGCCCTGTCCTAGGAAACATCCCTGACCCTGGTTGATTATCTGTCATGGAACCCTGCAGGCCTCTAAAAGTACCAATACCTCAGCTTCTAAACCACTGTCTCAGGTGACTTTTTGCACCGAAAAGTGGCGCCTACATCTGGACTGAAGGCACCGGTTTTGTCACTGGAAAACACGGCCCCTATCAGTAGCTAGTTTTCATGGGGTATTTAGATTGGGCCAGGCCCCTTGCCTTTTAGCACACATAGCTGTAAGGTGAGGACTGCTCCAGAAGTGGCCCATCACAGCGTTGTTTAAAAGCAGGAGGGATGCCTGATTCATAGGATGTGTGTATACCTCACACCCCTCATCTTTAAAACTGTTCAAAAAGCATATTCTACAGAATTTTGTAAGTACTTAATTTCACTGAATTGAATAACTTTAAATGGTTAAAATGGTCAATTTTATGTGTATGTATATTCCACAATAAAAAGATGGGGTGTGGTGGGCATCTTACAAAAAACCCGTCCAGAGGCCCTGTTTTCAAGGTCTGGCACTTTGTTGTAAGTGTTACAGAACTTTTCACAGCAGGCATTATAAATACTGGTTTCTGTGACAGAATCTTTGAGATCAAGGATCATTCCTTTATTGATTCAACTCATACATTCTGTGAAAAACCCTGTGTCAGCACTGGAAACCCAATGTTGAGTGCAATATGGCCTCTACTCTCAGGGAACTTAGTCTAGTGAAGCAGACAAAAACCACACATTTCAAAAGAAGCCACCTTGGATGGAATCGGCCTTTTTTGTCTTTTTCTTTTCTCCTTCTTCCTTTCTAGAATGGGAATGTGATGCCTGGATATACAGCAGCTATCTTAGGACCTAAGGATGAAGACTGAAGGAACACTAGCCTTTGGCTTCTTACCTCTGGACTTTTGTTAAAGGAGAGGTTAAAAAGGGCCAAAGTGGCTTTCACTTCTAATGGAGACATACAAACTGTCCGTAATCAGTCAAAGGCAAAACTGATAATGTAACAACAGCTATTGGCTTAGGCATTTCATTACCCTTGAAATTCCTGTGAACTTAAGGAACAAAGGAGTCAGATTGAAAAATTGACCTTCTTCAAATTGAAATGTTTTTATTAGGATACTAATAATTGCACATAAAAATGACCAAACATGGAAAAAGAAGAAAACACTCAAATGCTATTACAGATTATGCAAATTAGTTAGAGGAAAAAGATTTCTTCAGTGTATACAAAAATGTAAACATTTGCCCTGGGATTTCCCACAGATGGGACAGTCCACAAGGACTTATTTGGAACGAAAATATGTCTATTGACTCACCAGCATAGTCTGTATAACATCTGCAAACTTGCTATATTGAAAGTTAAAGTTCCTACACACCCAACATTTTCTATGCAAAAAAATAAATGGCTCCCAACCAAGGCAACTTGAACATCAACTGCTACGTGTGGAAGCAGAGTCACCAAAGCAAATCAGTGTTTCAAAGATGAGTTTCCACTCACTATGCTAAATTGTAATAACATTTACCTTGACAGACTTTAAAAATATACACAGTATATAAAACCTTTACTTGAACCTGGGGTGGAAGATGAAATATTTCCTGTTTATCAAATGCTCCAGAAAGAGGCTTCATATCAGTCACTGAACTTAAGGAATGGAGAGAGACTAAGAAGAAGCTCTCTTCTGTTCAGAAAATGGGGACTCATAAGCCTCCATAGGTGGGCATGTACAAACCAGGTGCTGATCTCCATAGATGTCATCAATCCGGGCAATGGTTGGCCAGAATTTGTTCTCTGGTTTCACAAAGGGCTAAAAGGCACAAAAGATGGACATATTCTGAGAGGTTTCCCCTGAGAAGAGATTGCAGTGATATCCTCAAAGCCTAAGATACTCCTAACCAACAAGCTCTCAAATATAAACTAAAAGCTAACCTTTCATTACTATCCCCCAAAACCCAATTTTTAACCCTTCTTTCCACCCCACCAACCAGTCTGCAGAGCATCACCACCTTCATATAAGAATCACAAAGGACAATATAAGTTGGTCATGGGGATGGTAGTATAGCATGGAGCATGGAGAATATAAACAGTGTATCTGTAACATGTTGATAGACAGTAACCACACTAGAGGGGGTGAGGATTTATTAATATGGGTAACTGTTGACCCCTATGTTATATATTTGAAACCAACATAAAATTGTATATCAATGATACTTTAATTTTAAAATATCACAAAGGGAAGAAACACTGTATTTGGGGCCATTTCCCTGTTGGATGACGGTAGAGAACACATTGGTCCACTTGAGGTCTTCCAACACTGTAAGCCCTTTGAATTCGTGGGCATGTGGTTGATACTGTGTGACCTCACAGCTCTAAGGTCAATTCCTGTACTACATCCCTTGTCATGATGTACATTTTACAAGGTGTCCCATATATCGTTACTATAATGAGGAACCTGCAAGAGTGGGAGCCCCTCCACATGGGTGATGGCTCCTCATACGCACACGACCACTCTGCCAGCTGGCACATTCAGCTGCAGAGGGGAACTTACAAGTGGGAATGCTGCCACCTCTCTGGAATACGGCCGATCCCAGTGGGAGGATGTGACACAGGTCAGGGAATGTGGAGACATCTGAGACAGGCAAAGGGGAGAGGGATCAGAGCAGAACACTGCTTTTTTGTCCCATATATAATTTCAACCATTAAGATCTGGTACAAGTCCATTACTGTTTTGTTTCAATTTGGGGGTAAGGAAATTTTGGTAGGAAATTTTTTACTGTGAAATATCAAAGTTATGGTAATAAAATAAGCCCATCTACCATATAATCAGCGTTTTGTCACATTTGCTTGACCTTTTAAACAGTTGAAACTGCTGGTATATCCTCACTCCATCTCATTGTTTGCCCTCCTGCACAGTGATAATCATTATCTGAAATTTGATGTTCACCATTCTCATTGTGTACTTATACTATGATTACATGTATTAATAAGCAACATATAGCATATGCTGGGACATTTTAAAATCTTACGTGTACTATTTTTCACTTGCTTTTGTAACTCAGTATTATGTTCTTTAGATGTCTATCGTGATTCTGAAAAATAGCCTAAATCCTGAATCAGCATTATCCAGAGAAAAGAAAGAATGATAGTAAGAATGATTCATATTATATTCCTCCATTACCCTATCAAACTCGATTTAAGCAAGGCGTCTGCCTTTTCTGCCAGCTACTGGTCCCTGCACTCCACCTTCAGCTGGGCAGTTCTGGAACTTGCCGGAATTTTCCTAAGCGTCTCAGACTTGTTCTCTGACTTGGAGCCCTAGCTACACAACCGCAGCCTTCACAGTATTCTCAGTTCGTGATCCCCCAGCTTAATGTCTAGACCTAAAAAGAGACCTGGGGTTCTGACCAGATATAAACATGTTTTGGAAGAGGCAGGGTAATGCCTAACAAATTTTTCTCCAAAATAGGCCATAAACATTGTAAAACATTCAGGCCAAGTACCAGAATGGTTATTCTAAGAAGTAACTGCTCCAATACCTGGAGCTTGTCTTTATCCAGAATTTGTGAGGTAAAAATTTTAATGTAAATCAGAGTTCATTAGACAGAATGATAAGACTTCCCCAACTAGATAGAGTCCCTAAGCCTCTGCTCCCTTCCTGGCAACCAGATGGGTGCATGTGTGATGTATAGCTCCCACAACCACAGGACAATTACATAAACAAAATTAAGGCATTGGAAAATACCCACGTTATACTTGAGTAACAACTAGTATGTTGTTCAGGAAGATTTAAACTTCCAAGTAATGAGTGCATCATCATCTCAAAAGAATGGTCTTATTCTAGGCAAGAGTATCATCTTATGATGAGAGTTCACACTGTTCAGACATCATTTTCTACTCTAGGGAACAATTTGGGTAAAGTACCGGTACCTACGCACCTTTAATGGATTGACCCTGGGGTCTATACGGCCCTCTTCAATGTCAGAAATTTCCTGCCGAATGCTGATCATGGCATCACAGAATCTATCCAGCTCTGCCTTATCTTCAGACTCAGTGGGTTCAACCATAAGAGTCCCTGCCACCGGCCAGGACATGGTAGGGGCATGAAATCCTGCAAGTGAACAAGGTAACTTGTGTCACTAACTTTGACCTCCCCAGTCTGGAAAAAGAGACCCTCCCCTTCTATATTTTATCTTAAGGAAATTGGGTGAATTTGCTAACATACAAATCTGGAGATTCATCTCAGCACTGTTTATGGACAAAAAACTTAGAAAATAACCTAACATCCAGCAACAGGCTCATTTAAGCAAATTTTACAGGGTATCCATCCAATAAATATGCAACCTTACATTAAAAAATATGTCAATATATATTTGTTAATTGGGTGAACATTCAGAAATAAGTGGAAAAAGCTACTAAAGTGTGTGTGTGTATATATATATACACACACACACACACACACACACACACATATATACATGTTAGATGAATAGATAAAATACATGGTCAAGAGAGATTTCCTAGACAAAAGCAAAAAACTTTTTCCCATTTCTTACACTTTTTCTGTGAAACTTAAAGATCCCTAGTTCCCAAATCCTGGTGTGCATCATTACACAGTGTGCTTTAGAGTCATGCCCACATGCTTTAAGTAACTGTCTCCTCAACACTGTATAATAAATATTTTCAGACATGCTGACAAGTTGAAAGGACTGTATTGTGAACACCCATATATCTTCCATCTAGATTCTACGATGATGCTCTGCTTTATCACACATTGATTCATCCATCCGTCTTATTTTGGGTGCATTTCAAAGTATGTTGCAGTCATCAGTACACTTTTTCCTTAAACACTTACACATGCATATCAACTAGAATTCACATCTGCTCACATTTTTGTGGTAAAATTTACATGCAGTGATATGCACAAATCTTGTGTTCCATTTAATAAGTTCTGATAGATGCATACAACTGTGTCGCCCAAACCAAAAAGGGATATTTTTTAAAAAACAGCAAGCTGATCTCATTACCCAGTAAGTCCAACCTCAGTTCCATATGTGAAGAAATTCAGCTCAACATTCTGCTATAGTGGTTCCCATATCTGGAACTATCTTATCTTGGAAACAGATTCCTGGACCCCTATCCTGATTCACGAAGTCCAAGGTAAGGCCCAGAAATCAATGAGTCGTAAAAACTCCCCAGGTGATTCTGATCATTAGTTAAGTGTGGAAACCTCTGCCCCAAGGCAGTGTGCCCCACACTTCCCAAATAAGACTCATCCATGAGATGCTTGTTGAATGTGGATTACTTGGCCTCTCTCCTAGAAAATCTGATTCAGTTAAGTGTGATTAAGACCTGGAATCTGTGTTGTCATTTTCAGTCTTTATTTTTTTTCCCTTAGCCATTCATTCATTCATTTTCTCACTTAACTAAATACATTATGTTTTGAGTGCCTACTATGTGTCAAGCACCTGGACAATTCTGTGCTTAGGGTAAGTGTAGCAGTCTCTATCAAACATCAAAATAATGAAAATAATGTCAAGGTTGGGGATAGAATAGGACTTGGAAATACTGGGCAGTAACTTCAGTGAACACCATTGTTCTCCTTCCCTGGAATGCTGCTGCAGTCAGGTGTGTGGTGTGGACAACACATGCCAGGAGGGAAACCTGAATCAGCCATCAGTCAGCCATTAGCCAGGAGGTTGAGTCAGGTTACAGAAGCAGCCAAAAGGAGATTTTGAGGAGGTAATTGCTAATTTCATTATGAAACCTTTCTCTGGCTTTGCCACTTACCGGTTTAACTACAGAACACAGACCATGTATTCAGGAGAGGAGTGAGTCACACATTTGGGACTCCATTATGGTGCAGTGGTAAAACTATCAAAGTTTTCACTCAGCTTATTAAAAGTCATTCAAATGAAGACAGGAGTCCACATCCATTGAAAGGTCTTTGATATTGCTGCTAATGTTACTAGGAAAATGTATTTTAAGGGCCATGATGAGCAGACATCCACTAATACAAAGTGTCTCTCAAAGTCCTTCAAAGAACTGCATCGTCTCTGAAAACAACATGCATCTATTCCTTCCTTCTAGAAGCAGCTGAAATAGCTCCACTGTGACTGAGGTGGTTATAATGCTCAAATGCCATTTGTCTCTCATACTTTTATGGGTTCCTTGCTGCTCTTCCTTCACCATTACACCAACTTACCCTTCTCTCTGGACCTCTCTGTTTAACAGGAGTGGGATATGAAGAAAATTTTACCAGAAATATGGGCAGAGAGCAGCAATCATTTTCTTTGGTATTTTTAATTTTGTTAACTATAAAGACATCTTGGCTGCCAGTGGATTCAAGATACATGATTTAATATCAAAGGACAGTATCAAGGCAGTCATAATGAGGTAGGGAGGGGACATGGGACAAGCATCATTTCCTGCCTATGATGAAAAATGCCAAGATATAAACAGTATATTAAGAACAGGAGGGACTCCATGTTAAGGCTAAGATTCTATTTTAAAAACCAGAGAGTTAAGAGGTAAGATTTCTAACATGTTCTTTGGTAATCAGCCAACAACCTATCCTCAGGCAGGGCAAGCAGTCCTAACTGCTGTGCTCCCAGTGCTTGAGGGAAACCACTATCTTGGAGAAGAACAGGATCAGTAAATTCCTTGTGTTAAGTTTATCTTACAGAATATCTAGAGGACTGACTGGACAGTGACATCATGGCTCTCACCAGACATAAACATTATGAGACCACATGTCAAGCTTATTCCCCCCACTTATACCCTTTGCCTTGTTTTTGAAAACCTTAAAACACAGAATCTTAAGCCCTTAGGCACACCTCCTCTATGAGGTTGCCTGCACTCCCCTTTATTCAAGTGTATACTTTGCCTGAAATAAAACCTTGTTGTTAGGCAGTTGTGTCTGAGGAGGTCTCTCCCTGTGCACTAGGTGAAACCTCACCCAGTATGGGGGAGGGTTCCTTACTCGGAGAAAGAATTCTCGAGCAGGTACGGAAGTGAGAGTGGTAGTGAATGGCAGCAGCCGTATAGGCAGCAGAGAGCAAGAACTCAGGGAGGAAAGGGGAGCTCATTGAACTCCCGCTCGGCATAGGGCAGATCCCTTGCCAACTCCTGAAGCCAGGGTTATCTGGCGTTCAGTGTCCACTTGGATCTGCACAGTGGGAACTAAGTCTCTATCACCCCAGGATTTGGGGGAACCTCAGAGCACTGGATGTGGTGAAATTATGTTGAGAACTTCCCAAAGCAAAAAGAGGAGACTTTTGGGTAGGCTACTAACGAGCACGGTTGAACAGCTGCAGTCCTGTTGGGGTCACCCAGGCAGTGGGAACTTGCAAGCCGCAATCAGAGATCTCAGTAGCCCCTTCCTACTTGTCTGGAGTAGAACAGTGAAAGTGAAGACTTGTGCTTAAATCTAGAAAGCCGAATGAAATAGCGAAGTGACAAAAGACATTTACCACTGTGGGTGGAGGTTGGAGAGTTCTTGTCTTTGTCATGGGAAAGAGTTCAGAGAAGTGTAACTGACTTATGCAACAAAGTTTATTTGATATAAGACAGTACACACTCAGATGGGAGTGCGAGCAACCTCCAACA